ATCCCTTTCTTTTCTGGTTTGCTTTACAGATAATGAAAACATATCAACCGTGAAACAACATGCAAATTTTAGTTTGTTGACATAGAAAGGACAAGGTTAACCTCCACTTCTGTTGTCCTACAATAATACTTCTTCACTACCGAATTTGTACATGCTAATGGCAAACATCCACTGGGCATTTCAGGTATTGTTACCAACAGAGCTGAGATTTATGTCATTCTGTTGATCAGTTTCTGTATCTGATAATTAAAAATTTAGCTTACTTAGAGATGCTTCAAAAAAGGCTTAGCAGTTTCAAAACTTAAGCTCAGCAAGTAAAATTATCTGTTAAAACACTCATTGGAAACAAAATCCACATTGTAAAAATAAGAATGTTTGGAAAGTATGTGTGAAGGGTTTTAAAAGAGATTTCACTACTATGATATGAATGCCTGGAGACTGTGACTTGCAATGGATTTACCATGCTTGCTCTCCCATTTCAAGCCAGAGTGGGTTTATATATATAAAGTACAAATTTGTGCCTTTACTGGAAGAGCTGTCAAGGGAAAGGATTACACAAATCTTTGTCGGGTCATCTGTGTTACAAGCACAACTTGTAACTCTAAGTCTGTCATTAAAAGCTTTTTCCACAAAACTAAGAAGTCTCCTCCCTGACTGTTCACCATTATTTCCCTGTTAAAAGCACAAAAAAAAAGATTTGGGAAAACTTAATAAAACAATCTTTTTACTAAGCAGAAACTTGCATTATTACATATTGTGGTGCAATATGTTTCTCCAATTAGAGCTCATCTGAAATTCAAATACCTTATTTCTTTCATATAGTTAATTAATGCAGTTCATGCTAAAAAAAAAAAAAATTACAACAAAATGTTTTATTATTCATCCCAAAAGAAAACAGGAAAAAAAGCAAGTCATCATAAAGCAAATTTAGTAATCAAATTCTTAAATATTACAGTGAATCTGATTTTCACACTTTCTGCCTACATGAAAAGTTCTGACGTGCAATGGTTAGAAAACAGAATAGAGAAAAACTAGGGATCATTGTTCATAACTTTAAGGTTTGGACAAACCTATCTCAATCCAAGGAGAAAAAATCACAGTTAATATCCAAGATAAAACATGCAGGCTTACAAAACTCACTAGGCAATAATTTCTACACTACATTCATGAGCCCACATTCCTATCAAACATTAGCAGGGCAAAAGAGTTCCTTGGCAAGTATGCCAAGAACCAGAGCAGCAGTTCTGCTAACCAGAACCACTGGGGCCAAGTGCCCAACCTCCACACCAATCCTCTGTCAGGGATTTACATTGAACTGCCTCTAGTCTGACCCACCACATTCCTCTTCATTTCAGAGAAAAGCAGATGTTTCTTTCTCCCTGATTTTTCCCATCTTTCTAATACTATATTAAAATCAGTTTATGACAACTTGAAAATATACATTAGTTCTCAGGGGACTGGAAGAACCCCACAAAATAATGATTCAGGTACAAAACCAACAGCTACATTTCTCTGAAAGAGCTCAGACATCGCAGTAGAGATTTAGGTAAGGAGTGCCATTAAAGAAAATTGAAAAAGCTGATCACAACCTCTCTGTTTACAAGCAACAGAAGAGGAGAGATAAAGACAATATCAATATATCAGGAGATTGCTTCTGTTCAATCTACAGACTCTTTGTTGTTGTCTTTAGACACTGCATTCAATCTAATGAATCTGCATCTTTCAACAGGAGAAAAAGACATATTTTCTGTACATTTATGCAGTCTCAATCTATTTTAGTTGTTAGTGCTTGAATCTCACACATCAAACATACTTTTTCTGAGGACAAAGTCTGTACTGCAGGCTGCATACTTTTTCCTCAAAGTTGCCACTATTTACAAATATCCTCATGAAACGCTGAGGATTTTCTCTTTGATTTCCAAGTCTGTAGATTTGTTCGTATTTTCATAAACCGAATCAGAGATCTTTCAATGCATAACAACATCTAAATGCAAAATGCCTTACAAACATATTGAGTCAGAGAACTGGAAAAGAAAACAATACTGAATATAAATTTCAGATGAAGCTCTTATTGCTAGAGTTGAGTTCTGAAATTCATGGCAAAGATGCCTTTGTTTTCAAAAGGGGAAAGAGTCAACGCCCTGATTTCTAATTGTTCTGAAATATCTCCTGTCAAAAAAAAAAAAAAAAGAAAAAAGAAAAAAGAAAAAAAAGAAAAAAAGGAAAACTAAAAAGCATAATATATCATCTTACTACAATACTCAAACTTTGAAAGAGACATTCTCAGAGCTGTTTTCATCAAAAACAGTATTTAATTTGAAAAGTAGAGAAAGTAGCAGAAGTTCACATTGAAAAGAAGGAAGAAAAAAACTAACAAGATATTACAAATTAGCTTAATTTTAACATTAACATTGCACTCTCAAATTCACAAAAACCAAGATTTTCAAAACTTTATATTACATTTATCTCAAGAAAAGGAGAAATTAGACAAATTGTGATGAAAATAATATACAGAAATTAGTATATGCATTATTCAAATCTGAATAGCAGACAAGATTTTCCTCAATAGACAGATTATATTAATAGCTCTTTGAAATAACAGCTGTATGAATAGAGTTGCACAAAATCAGGTTTAACCGAAGCATAATTTGGCATATTAAAGGTGTTACAAAAGATATATCTGTAATTTGCAAAATTGTTCCTTTAGAAGTGTAAAATATTCATCGCTCATCATATTTCTAAGAATTATGAGTTCAGAACTTTATGAACACCAGATTTCATTAAATCCCCTTGTTGCATCTAAAGACTCTGCAAAAATAGCAAAAGACAGTGGTGTGTTTTCCATCGCCTTGAACACAGCAGTAAGTCTGAAAGTAAAGGCACAAACTGCACCTGTCTGCCAGCTCTCTGCTGGCTCTGCAGCCAATTATAAAAGTAAGGAATCAGTCTCTGGGCTGAGGTACTGTTTTGTGCCATTCCACCTCAGATTTTGAGTGCACTATTCACCAACATTCACCCCCATGTGCAACACACACGAACAGGATGTATATTGTCCCACCCTGGTCAGCACTTAAACAGAACTGATGTCTAAGAATTAGCATGTCTAACTGACCTGGAAGATTTTTGTAGGGACATTTAATGACATTTTCACTGTACAAAGCATCTAAAGGTATTAGTGTCATTACTGATGAGGTTTTAAAGGTTGTATTTTACTAGTAAAACATTAATTTACTACACAAACCATTACAAAGAGAGAAAAGCATTTATCATGCTTTATAAGGCAGTGTGATTTTCATGTGACAATTTATTTATGCATGGCTGGAAAAGGCAAATAATCTACCAAAATTAGATAGTGATACCTGTCCTATGTGCTGGAAATAGTGAATGCTTTCAGAACACAGAAAAAGTAAAATATATTGACATGCTTTATTGCATGTAATTTATACATATATGTAATAATAATTTATTGCAGCAAATGCTATTAAAATTCCAATCACTATTTAAATCTTAGTCTTAAATAAACTCCACAAAAAAGGCCACTGTGACAAGAGGCAGCTCTCTGCAGAATTAGAGCTTCAGAGATTATTTTTATCTTACTATTTTATCAATGTAATGAGACAAATTATCCCCTGAGTATAAATTGATTGAACAACATTAATTTCTCAAAATAAAAGGAATGGCCGAAACACAAGGGGTTATCTGCTATAGGCAGTATTTCGTGCCTTATCCATAGTACTTTTTCTCTTTTTTAAAGGAATTCTTAATTTTAATGTATTTTATAATCAGTGGCATGTCGGTAACTAACACTAGTGTACATAAACACTTCCAAAAAATCTGACATTTGAGTTTTATTATTTGAAACCAACAAGGAATTCTTGGCATTTCCTTTTTGCTTTTCACCTACAAGTTTAAAGAATAAATTATATGGCCCACAACACTTTAACCCCTCATTACCATGAGTAAATCAGCTAAAGTAACCTTGTACAAGACAGAAGATTGTGGGCTCAGACTTGCAATTATTGAAAAAAAAAGAAATGCTCAAACTCCTTTTGCAAAGTTAGGCACCTTCAAAGGCCCAAATGAGCAATGGGATATACAAAATTTTACCACCTCCTTACAGTTTATTTTCAAGTTTTACAGAAATTTGCTGAAGTTTAGAATCCTTCCTCAATAACCTGGTAAAGAGAACAAGAACCTGTTCTTTCAATGATACCTCAATGTGTCATGGTTTTAGACAAAAAAAATCACTGACACAGAACATGTAAAATTATTGGTATAATCTTTATTTTAAAGAGATCTCTGCAGTTCAGTGAAAGATATTTTCTTCAGGTAGTGATTTAGAAAAAAGGTTTTGTAATAATTATTATTTTATGTTTTTATGCAAATATAAAAATACTAAAAAGCTATGACACCTTCCCAGGTCAGAACCCACATTCTTGTTCAATTTCATTTGCAATAATCTCAGATTTATTAGTAAAAAATTAGTAGTTAAAATAAACATTTATGTACAATATAATTAGAAATATATCTAAGATTAGTTTAACATATTTTTCAGGGTCTAGGCATGCATTGTCATCTGAACTACAATTCTTTGTGACCTTACAACAAAATATTTTGGGTTTGAACACCTTCAGTATCTCTCTTGTGTTGCCATGTTGAAAAAACCCACAGACAAGAGGGAAACTCCATGGGATCACAAGAAATCATTTAGCATATGCAAAGATCAATTAAGCACTTAGTGATACACAGTAGTCTCCAGTGCCAAATCACAGATATTATTCAAATGCATTAATATTAATCAAAATTAACATTTATTTCTTCCTATGCAGTTCCTATTGCAATAATATGGCATCTGAATAAAGCAGCAGCTTCCTGGTTTAAGCATTTCCACTCTACTTACCTCAGTAATAACCCAGAGCATATTATGACTCAAATGCAAACAAGTCTTTCTTAGTTTTCATGTTTCAGAGGAATTTTATTTCCCTGAATTCCCTGACAGCAGAAAACCAGGGAACTGCAGCTTGAAGCTAAGTAGTTTCTCAACAACTTTATAAAGAGAGAAAATAATCCAAATTCCTTGTTGCATATGTCTAACACTTTTCAGAATATTGGTGTCAAAGTGTATGTACAATAAAAATTACCTAGTTTTCAGAAAATTTCTGTATAAAAATATCACCTTGACACTCTCCTCACAGTGATTTCTATATGTAAATTAAATGTTTTAAATAACAGTTGTCAGAAGTTTGGGTTTACCTTCATTTCTATCAGAAGCCTTCCTTTGCAAAGGAAAGTCTCAGTGCAGAGAACCCTGAATTCACATCAATAAAATTATTAAAATTCTGATGCATTTGCAAATAATTTTATATTTTCAAACAGGGATTGATAAACGGCACAGTTCTCATTCCAGTCGTCCTTGTTTAGCATCACCTATTGCTCCCCATACATCAAATACAAACTCATCTGGAAATGCAAAGTCTCCAAGAGTTTCATCCAATGCCACTGCGAATTCATCTGGATTTTTCTTGTCTCTTCCAGCTTCCACAATTGTTGCAGCTGAAGAGCAACAAAACAACATAATTATCATGAAAGTGACAGCTAACACATAGGGCCAAGATAGCTTTGGGATGTCTATTTTCAACACCTGGTAAGGTCAGCTTAGGGAGAAGCAAAGTCTACCAGGTGAATTTAGGATTCAACAGGAATTTGAATTAAAACTTAAAGTTTGTCCTTATGCCTCCAGAAAGTGAAAAATTATTTCTGAAAATCTCAGCCAGGTGGGTCAAATTGTGCAGAAGCAAGAGAAAGGCTCTGCTGCTGTGCACAATAAACTGGAGCCAGCAAACACCAGGAACATCTTGGTATGCAGGAAAATGAAAGCAGAGGAGTCATACAACTGAGTTAAATTGTGACATCTTGTGTAACAATACCATCCAGCATTTCCTCTTATTTACCACAAAAGTATCAGAATTTATCAAGCGTCAGAGCTCACTTTTGAAATGGCTACACTGGGGCTGTTGCTTTGGACTGACTCCTTCACTGCTGTGCTCATCCCTCACCTTGCCACTGCAGTTTCTCAGACTCTAGGAAAACTTAGAAGTCTATCCCAAACAACACTGGATGCTGGCAGCCCACGGATATTAGAGCAAATGAAAACTGTGAGGGCTTAAACCTCTCTTGATCATGACACCTGCATCTCCATGAAGGGTGAAGAGTCAGCACAGAAGTTTCTCCTGGTTAAGCTGGGCCCAGAGAACTACTGGCAGCAAGTTACCATGGTTTGAGGGATGCAGAATGCTCTGTAAGACACATTCAGCACAAACAGCACTGCTGAAGACAGGTTTTTTTCTGACCTGTATCTCTGCTCCACAGCCTCTCTCCACAGGAAAATGATGGTACAGTACAACAGATGAAACATCAAAGTCTGCTTCATTTTGTGACTACTTTACACACCTTCCTTAAACTTCAAGGTGTCCTCCATCTTTTGTTAAACATCAAATAACCACCACTTTCTTCATGAGCATATCAAATTCAAGTGTCAAAGTGAAGGATTTGATAGCTTCTAGCCTTTTCTTAGAGGAATGTCCAAATGTAAAACATGTAATATAGTGCATGAGAAAGGGAAGGAAATTTTGAAGCCACAGAAAAACATGTTCACTGGGGCAGTCTGCCATCTACCACATACACGGTATTGAATCAACATGGCAAAATCTCTCTGATAAAAACAAAATAAAACTTTCCCTGCTCAGAAGTTTTACTAAATTTATTTAATTTTATTTTGTTGACCTAAAACTCAGCTCAAATTTATTGACAGTTACAATCTTCTGGCAAACAGTACTTGCTGTTGTGCAAACATGTAAGCTGTAAGCAAGCTTGAGCCATATCCCACATTGTAATCGTCAACAACTGCAATTCTGAGGAAACCTGGTGTTCTGTTTTAACTGTATTCAGATGTGAGGCTCCAAACACAATCACAGTGTGTCAAACCACACAAAGCTGTCCAAGGAAAATTTATGTAAATCTTGACAAATGAACTGCTGTGATGGAGACAGTTCAAGTGTACCCCAGCTTCCTAGGCACCACTAGTTCTCAAGGACCCTCAAGACCCTACCAAAAGAAACCCTATCCCTGTTGGACTGATTCTCTCTGTGTCCCCCATGAAGCTCCTGTGACTCTGATTCAGACAAGTCTGGATGAGAAATGGGCATTAAAGAGGGGACTCTTTATCTTTCCTGATAAGTGGAAAACAAGGATTTGTTCTATCAACACCATTCTATATTCCCTGACAATGTGGCACTAGAAGGTACTTACAGGGAAGCAAGCCTGGAGATAATTGGGTCAAGGGTATAATTGAAACTTCACAGATCTCTGGATATGAATCAGGATGTGAGCTTATGTATGGACACTAAGAGAAGGGTGGAGAGAAAAGAGCTGCAGAAGGTGATGTAAGAGCAAACATGTCAAGATATTGTTACACCAGATATTTGGAAAAAGCTGCCATCAAAAGAGTAAGGATGTGGACAAGTGCTCAAGCAGGGTGGGAGTGGGGAATTTAGCCATTTTTTAGACAAACTGGCCAAGAGACATGGAAAAAACATAGAGACAGCAGCAATAAAACAAGACAAGGCATTATATCACAGTCCAGCTGCCCTAGCTGAAGCTTCAGAATTGCACATAATAAAGTGTCATTAACAGAAAGTGTAACTTTTAAAAACTGATCTTCCCAAATAATGAAATAGGATCTAGAAACTGGTTTATTATAGATTTAGGAAGCTTCAAAACGAAATCCACTAAAAACTTAGTGGATCAACTTTAAACCCAGTCAAGCAACAATCAGAACACAACCGTCATGCTAAAGCAGCCTCAAAAAAAAAAAAATTCATCTGTATTGAGTAAGTCTAATCAGCACTGCAGGGCACATGTCATGTAGCCATGTACTGTGTTTGCTGAAGCACACTCGCATTCCCAGGCCCAGCTGATGGAAAGCAGCAGCTCCTTGGAGCAGGTTCTGTCAGCAGCGCGGTGCTGACCTCCAGCGCCAGCCCGGCCGCACTGCCGTGCATCCTTCCCTGCATCCTTCCCTGCATCCTTCCCTGCATCCCCGGCTCTGCCACAGCCAAGGAACGGCTGAGGCAGCTGGGGTTCTTCAGCCTGGAGAAAAGGAGGCTCAGGGCAGACCTTATCACTCTCTATAGCTCCTGAAAGGTGGTTACAGCCAGGTGGGGATTGATCTCTTTCACCAGCAACTAAGAGAACGAGAGGATACAGTCTCAAGCTGCGGCAAGAGAAAATTAGGTCGGGTATTAGGAAAAAGTTTTTCACGGGAAGAGTGATAAAGTACTGGAATGCTCTGCCGGGGGAGATGGTGGAGTCACCATCCCTGCATGTATTTCGAAAAAGACTGGATGTGGCACTTGGTGCCATGGTCTAGCTGAGGTGTTAGGGCATGGGCTGGACTTCATAATCTTGAAGGTCTCTTCCAACCTAGCGAATCTATGATTCTGTGAATTCTGTGAATGCTGTGAAACCCAGCCCTGCCTCACTGCTTCCATGCAGGAAGTGGCCAGCTCCTCTGCCACCCCCTGAACACATGCCTGTTTCCCCAGGCAGCTGCCACAGCGTTCCCAGGGCAGCACAGCTGTGCAGAACACCCCTGCTCACACAGGGACATCTGAACTCCCAGGGCATTCAGCAGACACTTGCCAGCTTAAAGAAAACTCTGCTGGTTCTCAGAGGGTGACAGCTTCGTGCCAAATTGTCTCCACTCCCCTCCCTTTCCCCCACTGCTTGTAAGAGATGCACAATAAGTGATTAGAGGAATTTTATTCCAATTGAATATTTTTCCACAGTCAAAAGAGCCTCAATTGTTTTCAGATTTTCCTGTTTTTCATTTCACTTCAGGCAATGTTCATATCTGATTAATTTTTATGCAAAATGTGAAAAGTTGAGCAATCTTAAAAGTGGTGAAAGGAATTACAAGTCTTGTCAACTTTAGATGAGAAGTTAATATCAGGCTTCCCAGAACATGAACAAAATAATATGTTGGCTTTTCAACTATAGTTCCTTTAAAATAACTTCAAAGATCTTTCACAAAATCCTTATTTTCACTTTTAATAGACACATGGGGCACAAGCCATGAAAGCTACCTTCTGCCTGCCATTCTTATTATCTACCTTACATAGTGGTTTTGCTATAGCCTATACTGTAACTTCTGAATAAAGTTTTTTCAGAAGTCCTGACAGAAGCCTCAATATTTATTTAGCTGTAATACTATTAGAAGTTCTACCTTCATCCAAAGGTAACAAATATTGTTCTGTCCTGTCACTCTAAAGCAGAAAATTACGCATATTATTGCAGTTTCCAGCATTTAACATTACTTGGTTTAAATCTCATGTTGAAATTCATGTTGTCAGGTCTGGTACTCAAGAACTACTAGAAACAGTAGTTCTTTTCTTACGTACTGATTTTTCTTGAACTTTTTTTTGTTTAACTGGACTTGCTGCCCTTCCTTTTATCAAAAAACTCGCATTATTCTTTCAGAGTAAATGAACAGCCATAAACAATATACTCTAGGATGTATACAATAAAATCCTTTGGGAAAGGAAGTCTGGTGACAGAAGGAGAAGAAAACAACAGATTCAGGGAGAATATCACTTCAGTTAAAACATTCAGAGATAAAAACATCTATTGAACGTTGATGAGTTGGATTTGCGAGCCAAGAGAGAAAGCTTGAGTAACAAAAAAAGTTTAAAACCCGTTGAGGTATTATGATTAGATGGTAAGTTTGAAAAATGAAGTAAAAAATGGAGAAGTAGATTTAAAATTTTTTAAACAAAGATAGAATATGCAAGGATATTTTAGCCTGATCTCAGTGATGGAAAATTACAAAACAGACTATCTTGTGTGTGATGACACAGCATGTACAGGAAAAACAGGGGATCAGGTCCAGCCAGCATGGGTTTATGAAAGGCAGGTCCTACCTGACCAACCTGGTCTCCTTTTTTGACCAGGTGACCCACCCACAGGATGAGGGAAAGGCTGTGGATGTGTCCCCCTGGACTTCAGTAAAGCCTTTCATACATTCTCCACACCTTTCTCCTGGAGAAACTGGCAGCCCATGACTGCACCTGGGGATGTTCAGGTTGGACATCAGGAAAAATTTCTTCACTGAAAGGGTGGTTAAGCATGGGAATGGGCTGCACAGGGAAGTGGTGGAGCCACCATAGCTGGAAGTATTCAAGGAATGACTGGGTGTGACACTCAGTTTGTGTTTATTTGGCATGGTGGTGTTTTGTCAAAGGTTGGACTCAGTGATATTGGAGGTCTTTTCCAACCCCAATGATTCTATGATACATCATGTCTGATAATATTATAGAGAGCAACAGAAAGGAAATAATCATCCAAAAGTAGAAAAACAGAAGAAAGGGGAACAAAGTATTGGTGGATGAAGCCAAAAGATGCTGCAAAAATTTGGACAGGAAGCCCTTTTGCCATCATTTACAATCAGTAGCATTCTGGGGTTAGATCCAGGCTTGCTCCCACTGAGAATTTTTGGGATTAAATACAGTCCATAACAATTCAAGTCTTAGTGATTTAAAAAGAAATAAATGCCAATATTTTTCACTAACACTGTTTCCTGAGTTGCTCCTATTATTCAACTGCTCAAATTCCTTTACCAGAAAGTATGCTTGTAGAATTTAAAATAACCTGAATTATCTCTCAGCTGTGTATTTATGTTTTAAAGAATGCTGAAGTAAAGCCCTGGCCCAATTTCTAATGTGCCCATAAAATGGCTGAGGAATACATTTCCAGAGCCAACTGTCCCTTCTCTGGATTAAGTCCAGTTTTCAGTACAAAGGAGTACGGAAGTAAAAAGGTAAAAATGCATCCAAAACAAGTATGTAAATCTCATCAGCATTCAGATCTCTGAAAATAAAAATTTTAAACTGTGCTGGAAAAAAGTGATTTTCTTCAACAATTTCCATGTATTTTGGTTCAGCCTAGGACTTTGTGTGTAGGTTTAGTCAGCCATTCTTGAAACTGTCAAGATACTTAACCATGCAAAAATTAAGGGCTTTATCTCACCTTTAATTCGGTCTCCAATTTAACATTAGTTTTTCTTTCCTTTCTTCCTAACTTAGGGCTTAAAACTGGGGCACTGTTTCAGAATTCAATCACACCATGGAAGTGTCATTTTAATGGAGATGAAAGAATAACATTAACTGACATCCAAAGATTCTGACAAACAGAAGTGCATGGAAGTGAGCAATGATTGAGATCTTAATCACTTGTCAGCTGCACATTGTGATGACTTGCATTTTCAACTAATCTGGCTTGAGTAATGAGTGAAATTTCGAGGTAAGTGGTGATTGGCATTCTCTGAATGAATCTTTTCCTCATATTTCATTTTCATGGGTGACTGATCACATCCAGTGTGTGAAAAACTGACATGTGTTAATTGAACAGATTTGTGACAGGTGATTAGCTCTCCTTTCCTAAAGAATCCTAGAGCTGTTTAATTGTTTTAAAATGGTAAAGTTGGGGGGTTTGAGGCATCACGGTTGGCTGTTGACTCAGATTTGAACTTCAGGATATGGCTTCAAAGGTGCAAACTAAAGCTACATGAACCCTATAGTCTTTGATTTCTGACAGCTTCTCTTGGTTTCACTACCTTTTGGGGAAGAAAAGAAGAGGTGAGGGACAAAACAACCACACAGCTGGGAAGAAAAGAGCCTCTCTATGAACAAAGACCTCCTCCTTCTTTGAATATTCTTTTACGGTTTGTTTTTTTAAGTTTTCAAACTACATACTCAAAGATGAAGGGCATTAGATCTTTTTAAGTGGCAAAAAATGTCAAGGAATTCATGGGAAAACTCTACCAGGTGCTTGGTTATTAACTCAACCATATGTGTTGAAAGCTGAACTTCTCAGTCTACTGTGCAAGAGCCATCCTGTTTACAGTACTGAGAGCCAAAAATACAGGGAACACCAGTTCCCACAGGACTGTTCACATGGACACCAAAAGCAGAGCACCTATAGCTGCTTATTCCTGTAAGGCAAGGAGCCTGGGGACCTTGGAAGTAACTTGCAAGGACAGGAGCCTCCAGAAGCCCAGCCTGAGCCAGGACTGCAACAGCTGCAGGACAAAAACAGCTCCCAGAGGGACAGCTGGCAGGGGACTCGGAGCTTTGAAGCCTGAGCCAGAGAGGGACTGAGGCACAGAGGTTGCAGGAGTGAGATGGAACATGGAATTCTCCCTAACCTAAACATGGCTCAGCACCACACAGGACTCCCAGGAGTGTGTTACACGGCAGCAGCATCACATATTAGAGTTACTGGGAACAGAAATTTTGAGAACTTCTAGGTTCCTGGGAATAGGAAAGTTCAGATAGAACCTACAAAACAGAACTGAAATTTTGGGCAGCTCTGCCCTCTCTTCTATGCCAGGAAGCCCACTTCTACCTTAGACTGAAGGACAAATACTGTTTTACTGACGTTTTTTCCTCTGAGAAAACCAGTAGAATCTGCCAAACAGATGCTTGCTGGTAGGAGCAGCCAACAAAGGCCTTTTGGCTATTTAGATAACCACCTTTTGTTCTCATTCCTCTCAAGGCTCCAGCCCTGATGCTTCGCCCTCTGGAGCTTCATGCCAGACCTATTTTCTCTTGTGCTTTGCCTTCTCCACTTCTCTCTCATGAGAGCTTTCTTTTCAAGATCGCTTGCCATTTAGCTTATTCTTTCCTTTTTCTGGCTGATTCTTTTAAGATATTACCATAATAATAAATACCTTCCTCTTTGTCTCAGTTCCAGCAGTTCCACAAGATCCTAGGAGGACTACCAGCCACAGGAAACTACAAGAGCTAGACTGCAGCTTCTTCCCACACAAATAAAAATTCCTATTTAGTTGTTGTCAGAATAACAAAGAAAAGCAACAGCTGCAAGGACAAGTTTGGTGCATCTTTAAGGAACTTATGACGCTGGGGTTAAGTAGTTTCTTTCATTATAAATTAATGATTTTTATAACTATTAAATATTCTGTAAGTTTTCACATGTTCATCAGACCACAGGTTTTAGAGATTTTGATAAATTTGTGTAATTATTCTGTCAGTTCCCTTGCTAAATAGTTGCCTGTTCACTGACAAAGATCTCAGGTTCAAACCTTAGCAATCAACTTTGATGTGTCTATGCCAAGGGGCAGAAAAACAAATAAACATACTTATCCTTAAGAATCCTTAACCATGGCACACACAAGATCCACTAGAAAATAGATGCCAGAAAGAACAAAGTGGGGACAGTTATAGCAAACAACTAAAAAATTCATGCAGCAGCGTATAGATAATGTGCAGAAAGAATAGATTGATTGAGCAATTACATCATAAGGATTGAAGTGGGAGGAAGATTCTTTTATCAGAAAAACTCATTTGTAGAACTACAGGCAAGTTATTGAGATTGCAGGCTGGACAAATTTTGCTTCACTTACATCCAGAGACTAAAGTACTCAATAAATTTTAGACTATAGAAAATGAGAAATTATTTAATCTTGTAGTAATGTATCTGCTAAAAACTTACCTAATTCAATATCTCTTATGCCCATGTATGTTTCAAGAAGCTCATCCACTTTTTTAATTGCTTTTTCTTCAACTTCAGTTGGCTTTGTTGGAATAAAGGGAGAAAAGAGCAAAAGTATGATTATACCCATGCAGATTTCAAAACGACCAGCAATGTGCCAGTGATTATCCTTACTCCCATCTTCGCCACCTAGACTTACAAAATCTAGAGATAAAACACACTATTCCACTCCCCTCTTCTCACAAACATAAGCTTTCCTCCTAATATCAAGCCACACAGATTACACATTCAGACTGAACAGGGGCCTTATATCTCCTGACAATAAAGGTCTCCATTAAATCCTCATCAGAAGAACCCAGAATACATAACATTTATTCAAACTCTAATCCTGGCTTTGCACAAATTCATGTCAATGTATCTAATTAGCCTCTCTTAAGAACAATCCTTAAACCAACCCTGTACACTTTGGCGTCAGAAATGGAACAATTTCTTCACAACCATCCCACCTCTCTCTCCCCCCTACCTTCTTTTCAGCTCTCCTTGGTCTAATCTACCTTAAATTCATCCATGTAATCCATGACATCTAAATAGAGGTTCTCTGCTTCCAGGCTCTTCAGCCCCATCCTAGCCCTGCTAGTCATCAACTTCAGTTGTTTTCTTTAGTCCCACAAGCTCTGTAACATCCACATTTTTCCTTCCTACTTATCAGCCTTGGGGAAGAATAAATCAGAATCTAGGTGATTAAACTACTGAAGGGCATTGACCACACCATACCACTTCCTCCACAGTAGCAGGGCCTTTGGTTCTCAGGCGAAGTGTTTCTCTCCCTTTGGAGATTTTAGCCTCTGGCACAGTTCTGCCTTTGGACCTTGGTTCCAGCTTCTCTAAAGACAAAAAAAAATCCAACAAAAATAAAATACCAAACAAAATTATGTATACAGTACAACAGAATATGAGGCATCTGTTTCAGTTATCATAATATCTTCATATTTTATTCTAATTGAGATCTAAACTATGTAAAAATCTAATTATAAATTAACTATTCTTAAGATTAGCTTTGCCGACATTTCCTTTTCTTTAAATTCTAATATCTTCTCAACTGCACAGAGGCTAGGACTTCTATTGACCAATATATCTAAGCAGGCCTATGGCATTCATTTCATATATGCACCTTGTATAATTTTATTTCCCTATTTTACAGAAGAGTATTTATATCTTTATATTAGATAGCAGCCGAAGTCACCAGCCAACTGCAGATTTATTCTGGTCTTTACAGACAGAACACACAGCAGCTTTAGCATTGCAACATTTCCATCTTTCACTGATGCAATGGTGCAAACACTCCTGCTAAGCAGGTGATGATGAGCCACATTGAGCTGAGCTAACAATTTGCTTATCAGCACTCACAGAGCTGAAGTGGCCATAAGCAGATCTGCAGGAGGTTTTCCACTGGTTTCACCAAAATTATTTCACAGCTGATAAATCTCCAGGAAGAGTATTTGGTTTACACAAAGTTTCCTTTAACTGAATTCAGCGTTTCTTGTTTAATCCTGGGTAAGGACACCCCAGTTAGTAATTGGAGCATGGAATCATTTAAGGTTTGGGTTTCTTGTTCCAGGATGCAATTTAACATTCAAGAACGGCAAGGCTTTAATTTACTTACTGACATGGGAGTTACACAGTGAATCTGGAAAGTGCTAAAAGAGAGGAGACAATTTTGCAGAACTGCTTTTAATTGTCCTGTTTTATCTAACAGATTATTCTTCCTCTTAATATCAGGCCTTTCTAATAAGTTCTTCTTGAAGGCAATACTTTAACATATTATATTAATTTTGCTCAGATAGATTTCAACTCATTCTTACATAACTAGTCAAAAATCTAGATTATTATACTGAACAGGCCATGAAAAGTAAATTTTATTCGTTTTTATGATACAAATAGATATGCCACAGTCCCTTATATATATACTTAGGATCAACCCTTTTTCTTAATCCTTTTATTGCTTCAAGAACAGTTTAAAAATCCTTAAGATTGTCATCATTTCCGCTAGACTTGTTTCAAAAAGTCATTCCTGATAAAAAAAAACATTTTTTTCAAATTCTGTCACCATTACCACCTTAAAACTCATGATTTGACATAACCTTTATTTGCAGTACTTCAGACCAAAACACTCTGCCTATCACAGAAATTATTTACCATTTCACATAATTAAAATGCAGAGTTTGTGTTATGCTGCTTTTACTTTGTTTCTATTAAGTTTTCACAATTCACAGAGGACCAGCTTGTGACTGGTAAAAATCTTTATTTCTGTGCTACAAGCCTTGCCTAGAGCAGCTGAGACAGTCTGTGTGTACATGGTAGAAGGATGTCCAACCAGTAAATTACACTTATTTCACATTCTGCTCAGAGGAAGAAAAATAAAAATAACTTCACACAGAGGCTTGGCCCTTATTTCCGTATCCTCACCAAATTCTGTTGAAATTAACAGGAATTCAGCACCTACTTGTCCAGCAGGCCCGGATCTTGTCTGTCATCTCCTCTGGGGCTATTCTTAGTGCTTAAGCTACAGCTTAAGCATTATCTTTGTGCCTGAAGCCTAACTGCAGGATGTTTTAACCTACTGAGCACTGCAACTTGCAAGTTAATTTCTGTAGTGTAAAAAATATCGTGCATCTTCCAAAAAATCTGTCCACAAAGCTCTGGTTACTTCTTCAATCAATGTCAGAAAAAAAGTATTGCTGTGAAATCAGTGCATTTCCTCCTCTACATCACAGTCTGACTAAAAGGTATTTTAGTCACCTGACTAAAGTAAATACTATTAAATTATGGCTGAAGTCATTAATCAAATGGTGATTTACTCTGCTCTTTACAAATAGACTGTGTAATACTTCTAGCATTGAACACAAATTATAGGCCCACATTAAAAAAGGTATTGCTGCATTACTAATTGTGATAGACAACATATGCAATTCTTTAGCATAATGTACAACATACACATTCATTTAACAGCAGTACTAACTTATATACAAACACATTAGAGATCAACTCATGACTCTCATTCTTCACAGAAGCTGTAAAAGCAAAAAGAAATCTTTGCATTTCTCTCATTTTCAATTTCTGCTGCTATTCTGACACCAAGTGTCAAGACTGGTGTATAACAGTAGCTGTAAACTACTAATACATTAAAAACATTTGAAAAATAAACATTTAAAATTTTTGCTGCTGTAGTGAAGACAGTGATATTGAATTGACTGTTATTGCAGGTGTGCAGAAGGCCTCATACAAATTCATAATTTAGCACTATTTTGAAGCTTTTATTACAGGAAAATGCTACATGGTTTGGGGAGGGGATCAAAAAAAAATTGATAAAAACTATTGTAACTCAGTCTCTATTTTGACTGCCTGAGCAAGACCTGTCTTGTTTGTTTGTTTGCCACATTGATAGAACTAACATATAGCAGTTTCTCCTGTTTAAGCAGCACTTGCTCATATCATGCAGGTGGCAAGCAGAGACAGAACTTTGCAATTGTGCTTTCTTCCAATTCTGAGCACACCTGCTGCATGACTGGAGAGCCACAAAAAGGCTGGGGAGAGGGACAACAGGCAGGCAGCAGCAAAGGAGGTGTTCCAGGGAATCCCAGACAGTGCTGCAGACTCCTTCTGCATTAGAGAGCACAGATCCCAGTAAAGAAATAGAAAAGACTGACACACAGAACAGCAGAGATTATGTATCAAAAAAAGGAGTTTTGAGGATCAGGACATTAGTGAAGTGATCCATGCTTTAAAACCGTATCTATGAAACAATTCCTGTTCTTATTTTGCAAAATCATGAAGTGGAAAAAGAGACTGACTAAGGCTCAGGCTGAGGTAACCCACACCAGGATGACTGCTGAAGAAAGAAAGATGGAAGAAAATCCATTCATAAATCTTCCACTTTAAAGAAAAAAAACTAAATGTAATTTCTTGTAGTCATTATGTTACCACAGGTGACACCTAACTGCATTCTGAAAATAAACTCACAATGTAATGCAATGCTGGGATTTTACCATCAAGGTGTTTTACTGAGCAAGGTGGACAGTCAGGTCACTCACCAAATGCTTTCAAAGGCTCTACCAACTCCAGCTTAAACTTCTGACCTTTCTCCAGATCTTTCAGCATTTTGGCAACTTCATAATGCCGATACTCTGACACATTTTTTCCATTTATGGTCTCTATGTGATCGCCCACACAGACGGTTTTGGTTTGGTCCATAAGGCTGCCTTCTTTGATTCGCTATTGTTAAAAAAAAAAACACCACAGAATTAGAAATATTTATTTAAAGGTGATCATTTTTAAGAGTTTCACCACCAAGTTTCAAGAATGTCAGTTAACAACATCAATACTGAGCTTATTATTCCAGCAGCGTTTTGTCTATAAGATTATCATAAAACATTTTGAAAAGCATTATTTTTCAAACAAAGTATTTTAATAAGCTTTGAATATACAATCAGATGGGAAAAAATGCAACGACACTTTAGAAATAAAGAGTTCTGAATAATATAATATTTTTGTGCTTTAAAACAGATCACAGACATCTCAGTAATGTGAATGTCTATTAAAGTTTTTCTATTTGGTAGCTTGACAAGCATAGGAAGAGAATTTTTCTCTTCTCAAGTATGGTCCAGAAACTTAGTAAAAAATTATATACAGCAAAGGGCTGATCTTAATAAGACCCATCCCCAGTAGTGAAACTACCACTTTCCTCATCAAGCTTTATAGCTGTATATTAAAGGCTATCCTCTGAAATAATAAATAATAAGAAAATCTTCTAACTGCCATCTCACAGATAACATAAATAGTCTAAAGGTCATAACAGAAGTTATAGCTTTTATGAAGTGCAATTTTAAAAGTATGGGGAAAAACATTTAAATATCTCTATGATTTATCACACTTTCAATTTCAGTGATTCTGTTGTTGCATACTATCGTATTTGTTCATGGTGTGCATACATCACATAAACCATTACTATATGGATATTGAATAGAATAGCTATGACACAGTACAATATCTTATATTTTGCAGATACAAATTTCATTCTAATGTGTTCCTGAATACAATCTTTTCAGCAAAGACGGACGTGGTTCAGGCTAACTTTGTGTGAGATAACAGTGAGACAAGGCAGATAAACACATTGCCACCTCCCACTGTAGCCAGCCTGGCTGTGCAATCCTCCCAGCAGCTGCTCCCAGCCCCTGTGCATGTCTGAGCCCACACATGTGCCTCCATCTGAGAGTCAGTGGGAAGTGTGAGAGCTCTCACTGTCCTATAGTTGATGATTTTAAGCTTCAGGCTGAGTTTAACTCTTCCTAGCACCAAACAGAAGCCTTTTTGTGCCAAATGTGCTTCTGTCACCAGGACTCGAAACCTGTCCCTCTCAGTTTCAATTAATGTCTAGTCTACACGTTGAATATTCATTTAGATTTCTTCTGCACTTGGATCCCAACACTAAAACTGTTAAAATAATATTCACTGGCTATTATTTGTGTCACTTTTTATCATCACTCCAAGTTAACTGACTGAGACAGTCAAGCTATATTGTCACAGTAATTAAGATGCAACTGCCTGTATTTCAAGTGCTCTACAGTCCATTGAGAAGCTATGAGGATCTATATTTCCCATGCAATGCCTACTCCATTTGATAATGTCTCCTTGTACACCACTCAGTCACACTTCAAGTTCTACTGCTGTTCTTTGAATGCTAATTTGACTCCATAATACTTTTTCCCACCTGCCCGGGTACCGCAAAAACAAATTTGTGAAAGCAAAATGACACCAGGTTTTGTCCTTGGTAAGGCAAAACAAGATTAAATTTCACAGGAAAAAACCCTGCAGTTCAGTGTCAGGTTTAAAATTGGTCGGGTTACCACATAAAACCTAGAAAACTCCCTGCTATTCAAAATGCAGTAAAATAACTACAATCCATAGCAACCTTCAATAACCCACCAATCAGTAAATTTAGTATTAATTAGTAATTAAGAATGGGACATAGTTAAAAATTTTCAAGGAAAATATATGTATAGAAGCAAAAACAAACCTATAAAACTTTAGAGACAGTCTCTGCTTATCCATTTACCTAGACAACAAAGTAAAAAAAAAGATGCAGCTTTAATTTTGTATATGTGTTTTCTGTGCTAGTTTAAAAGATCCACTAGCTAAATCTGCAACAACAACAAAGTAAGCTCCTAGAAACTCCTTAAAATTTATGCATTCCCTTGAAGACCACACCATTTTCATTACAATGCTTATTATTAGACGAGTGCAAGGAAAAATATATATTTGCTCAGAGGAGTTTTACACAATTTACTGGAAATTACAGCTTGTCTGGCTAATGTTGTGAGGGTTTTCCAGTGTGCTCCAATTGTGCAGTAGTCTGTGTAAGGGCTGATCTCTCTGCCTGTAACCAAGCAAGCACAAAGGGAGTGTCACTGCCCAGTGCTGCACACATGAACGCTGCTCACTGAAGCACTGCTTTCAGTGCCTTCTTTTAAAATGCCACATAAGCAGCAGCATGACTGGATGTTATGGGCTGTATGGATGCCATCACTAGAAATTCACTGTTCTTTAAACATAGAAGTTAGGCTATGATTTTTCCAAAATGCTTAGTGAAACCTTCACTGCATCTTGACTTTCATAAACATGACCTCAGTCACATTTTTCCACAACAAAGACAAGCAAACTGATTTCTAAACAGTGTCTTGTTTTATAGCCATGGTAGCTAAGGAATGAACAGAAAATACAACCTCTCCATACAAAAAGCTGTGTTTACAATGAGAACAGTGATTGGGGCAGCAGTAATCAAAGAGAATTGCTAATGCCTCACTAATAATGGGTAATTGGAGTATATTAGAGCAAAGAATCTCAAAAAGGCAGAAAATGTGATTAAAGTTCCTAATACCTAGTCTAGCAAGAAGGGCAGCATCATTTCCTCAGCCTCTACTTGTCTCAAAACATACTGCCTCTAGGTCATAAAGAAGAGGAGAAGGAAAGCAATTATGATTAACATATTGTATATGTTACTGCCCATACTTGCTACTCAAGTTCATTGTGGTAAATTGTGTTAATCCATATCCTTGTAATTCACCCTATCTAAGGCAACAATACTGAAAAGCTGAAATACCACTGTACTTGCCCCTACTCTTGTGCAGCACAAAGGCTTCTGCCCTGGGAACACCAAAGACTGGAAGAACATGATCTCATTATCACATGAGTGACAGAAGTTCTATAAGCATCTAATAAATGACATCAGAAAATCAGTTTAAAACAGGAGGGGGCAGATGCAAGCAGTATCTAACACCTACCACCTCAGGGTAGCTCAGGAGATACAATGGTCTCATTGTAAAGCTGATACACATTACAGAAGCAATGAACAAATGAACCGATTTTGAATGACATGCAGTACAGATTAGCTGAACTAATTTTGAATTATGTACCTAAAGAAAAGCAACTTTTATCTTTACTTACCATATATATGATAATAAAAGATGTTATAGTTCTAAAGGATCATTAAACCAATAATTAACCTATTATAGTAACAGGAGCTTCTATAGAACAAAGTATTGCACTGGTAATTAAGTTTACCTTTATAAAGGCACAGCCAGTTCCATTGTCTGTAATGGTAAGCCCCAGCATATCATCAGTTTTAAGAACTTCCACTTCTTTTCGTTGTCCTTTCACATGGGCAAATATGAAATCTTCAAGGCCAATTTGTGCACCTAAGAGCTTGTCCATATCCACTTTATGAGTGTTCAAAGTGCAAAACATGATCTGTGCAGAAGGAAAGCAAACACATTAACAGTGTATTAGCTTTGATGAGCTTGATAGGAAGCTAAAATGAGAGCACAGTTCAGGTCCCTGGGAGCGGTCCGGAGCTAAAATGATCCCCCTTCTTCTCCAGCTGCACCAGGAGAAGGGATAATCTCCATCCACACACAACAGAAAGCATCAGTAGCTCAAACTGCAGGTAAGAGCTGGCAGAGAACACAGGAAAGAGACCTACCTGTGTGAGCAGCCTCTCAAAGCCTGTCTCAGCACACCAGCCTTGAGAGAGGCATCTTGAGCTGGTACAGCCTGCACCAGAGGTCAGAGAAAGCAAACTGAACAGCCACCACCGTCTTTTGTTTCATCATTCACCCACCTTGAATTCCACCCAATTCGAAGATCACTAGGGACTACTTTAAAACTTGATTGGTTCAAAGCAATTTAATAGGAGAAAAAAAAAAGAGAGCTTATCAAAACTTTTTAAAGAGTCATGAGAGAGCATGAAATGCTTTTTATTGCTCCATGTGTTCCCTTGTTAGCTCAGAGCACAATGAGGCTTGCTTAGTTCTACCTTTCCCTAGCATGAGTTGGGGTCATCCCTGTTCCAGTAAAGACAAGCCTTAATAAAAAGGTCAAATTGCTTCTTTATAAATCAATTTTCTGAGGGATTTCCCTTCAGCACTGAATATCAGGCAGTCCTTTTTCTCCCTACACTTATGCCAGTTATTCAGCAGAGATGTTTCCTGTCCTGGGCATAGGCAGGGTGAGAGGAATCCATCTGTACTGCTTGGGAACAGAGATGCTTTTGCCCATCATGGAGCTGCATGAAGGAATTTGGCCAAGCCCAACATGCCCCATCACAGTTACAGTAATGACACGTGCCCAAGCCTTTCCAGGCTGCAGCAGGAGAGGAGTGAGGCCCAAGGGAAGCACACAGGGAACATTCCTGCTGGGCAGCACCGCACAGCACAGGGAGCAGCCAAACCAGAGAAACTCTGTGCTCCAAGAGAAACTTGGAGAATCCCTAAAATCTGCTTCACTAAGGCAAAGACACGTGCTTTCCACAACACCACACCACACATGCCTTTTCTTTCCTTCTAGCATCACTGGCACCAACCTGTTTGAATTGATTCCAGGTCAAACAAAGAGCGGGTACTTTTACTGATATATTTCACAGAGGACATTCAATTTTCTGGAGCTTTCTAGAACTTAGATTATGTAACTATGGGGGTTTTGATCTTAAAAGACTGAAACTTAATAGAGAGATTGTATTTCTTGATGGAGGTCTTGTTTAGTTGTTGTTTTCAAAAACAAAACAAACAAAGCCCCCAACCAAACAGCCTTACTTGAATGGCTACTTGCTTATCTCATCTAATCCATCAAACATCCACTGCAATCTAACACCTTATTTAACAATGAAAGTCGTAACAGCACACCCTTAATACACATTAGTTTTATTTGCTCAGGTAATGCAAAGGTTTTCAGTTAAACAATACTCAAGATAAAACAAGACCTAGAGAAATTAATCTGGTTTTAAGTATAAAATCGAAAAAAAAAAATAACAATCTCTAATGGCAAGCTCTTTTTTAAACAAAAAAAAAAAAAAAATAAAACAGATGATATCAAGTCCATATACACATTTTCAGCTCTCTCAAGCTACATAATTTTGCCAGTTTAAAACCGCAACTCAGTTCTCTGTTCATTGTTCCTGCAATGAATAACAAGCACTGTCTTTACATTTTAGACATTAGCATCCTTCATCTGACCTTGTCAAACAGACAATCTAGTAAATACTGTCACACCTTTGAATAGATAAAATTGGCAACAGAGCAGAAATGTGATATTTAGAAACTTGATCCAGAGTTTCTCTTTATAGATCTTCATCTGGATGGCATTCCTACTACAGCCTATAAGTCTGCAGAATTTTTTGTGAGTCACTTCTGTGCTAACCACAAGGCTAAGAGAGCATCAGCCAGTCAAAAATAAAACTTAAATCATTCTTCATCCTCTTTAGTGAACAACTGCTTTTTCTCAGAAGAGATATATGCAAAGAGTAATGTACTAAAGATGTGTCTACCTAGAAAGATATATCACTACACCATCTACCAGTTACAGCATAGCTTTATTTGTACACAACTGAGACCTACTGATTCAAAAATGGTATTTTTTCATAGATTTTACATAAGTTTAATATTGGTGCCTAATGACAGATTATATACTTGAATACTTAAATGACAGCTTCCACTCACTCAAACTTTTGCATATTTTAATAGTAATTTCCTTATTCAAAAACGAAGCATGAAAAAAAATCAATGTGCAATTCTCATTGTTAAGTCTTTTCTGTCCTTATCCTAAAACTTAGGCATTTGGCATGGGCTTTAATTCAGCATATCAGTGCTGTGAATATTTCATGCCAACTTCAGCAAGATATTATAAATCAGAACTGTTACATCAGTCACAAAGTATCTAGGATACCTCCTTCACCAAGAGTTATCTTTTGCAGCATTCAGAACAAGGAAATTCCATGTCACTGGACACTAGGGGCTTATGCACAAGTTTATAAAATAGATGTGTCCAGTAAGATTACTAACGGATTATTCCCTGCATCCGTATTTTCAATTGCAAGAGACTACATTAGCTAACAAGGGCTATACTGTGTGTTATATAAAGAAATGGTATTAGCTAAGAAAAAGAGGGTTACATGATATGTTATATAAAGTATATATGCAGTACCATATTGCTTGTTCTATATATTAATTCTACTCTCATCTTCCATAATGAGTTTACACCACGAGAAAAACTCAATAATAAGTTGATTGATAGGTTACATACCCAGAAGCTATTGAAAATGTATTAAAAATCTCAGCTAACTTTACAGAGACCATAATCACTTTCTGTTTAAGAGGCAGGGAACTGGGAATTTTAATTCTGAGCAAGATGTAACACCCACTGACATATTTCCCTATATATGTGGATGTCATCATATCAAGAAATCACCAACGCATTTTCTGGTATCACTCACTTTATCTTCCCCAAGGAAAATGTGGGAGCCTTGACCAGCTTCAGCAACAGGGAGAGTAACCAGCTCCTCCAAGCTCTGGTGTGCTTTTGGTACTGTCAGGTATTCAGCTGGTCAATACATTCAAAGTCTTATAAAATAAGCACTCAGTGTTTTGCTGTTTGTTTTGGGATTTGGTTGGGGGCTTTTTTTTTGTTTAGGGTTTGTTGGGGATTTTTTTGTACACAAGTATTACAGTGCAAATTCTGCCATCCAATTATTTCCATATTAAACTAATATTTCAAATACTTTCAATTAAAATGTTTGAAAACCACATAGCAAGCATCACATGCAATATGGGTGTGACATTTAACACTGCTTAGGGAAACAGCAAGCAAACAATTCTTGCCACAGGGTTGGGGAGGAGGTGTTTTGTAGGGAGTGTTAAGTTTGCTCATTTAAAGTATTCAATCTGTAGGCGTGATTGTGAGCAATTTGTTTCGACAGATAAGCATAACAATAAAACTTCCAACATTTGGATGATGAGGATTTTACAAGCTGGCTCTTTTTTCTAAAACACACTCCAGATTTTTTATTGTTAAAAGGACAGTTTTGTTCAGAAACACAAATTTCAGCAGTGGCTTATTTGTCAGTAGGCTTTCATAAAAGTTTAAATTGAACAGGTTTAAATCAAATACTTCTATGAAAATTTAATGTGTCTCAGCCTCACCGTATGCTTGACTATTTAGCATGAGGAGGCAAGGCCTGTGCAACAACGGCCCACACACAAGCTCAGCAGCTGGACTCTTGTTACTGGAAGAGAAAGAGGGAGCTGCATTTCTGCCCTTACTGCTGCCAGAAAGGTCTCTCTTTTCCTGAATTACCCTTGTGATGCAAAATTCCTCCCACTGTGAAAGAAACTTGCAAGTAGACAAACCAAGTCCACACAGCTTTTATGGGTTACCATTCCCTTCTTACCTGATGAAGAAATAGCCCTGCTACAGCTGGACTTTAATATCCACATTCTCTGTGCCCGATTAGCTACTCTGAATACTTTAAAGCCCTACCATGTGCTCTCACAGGAGCACACCACCACCAAATGCTTTAACAGACCCACATTGTCCTTCAGTCAGCGCTCATTTATTTATCATACAGGCTGCACCCAGCACTTTCACCCTTCAAAGGAACATTACATTCCCTGCTACATTCCCTATAGTCAGAGTGGAGTAGTAATCCTAAAAGGCCACAGCTACACATAAATACCTTTTCCAACTACTTTTCCTACTTCAACCTCCATAGAAAAAATAGGAGGAGATATTTCTATTATTTATGCAAATAGAAACATACACGTAACTGTGAGTGGGTTGTGTTGTTATTTAAGAGCTGCATCTATCTATCTATATTTTTTTAGCTCTGTGCTTTCTTGTTGAAAGCCTGTTGAAGTAATTAAGTTAAAAGTCAAGAAAAATGTGATCTACCTCGAACAACACTCCTAATAATGATGCTGGAAATGATACAACTTTGACATTTTTTTACATAACTTTAGTCAGGGGTTTGTTCTCCTTTGCCCAGGCGGAGGGTTTCTCTTCACAAGACTCTTCAGCGGGGTTTAAAATTTAAAATTTTAACATCCATAGATTGGGACTAGCCAGAAGATACACAGGAGATAAGTGAACATTAACGACCATTACCCCGAACATCACCCCCTGGCATGGCCAGAGACACCTGGTCTGGGAAAAGACCAATAAAAGAACTGAAGAATGAGGACCAAATTAGCATCAAAAGTGAAAGGATCAATAACCAATAGGAGATCGAATACTAAGAATTGCGTAATTTAAGACCACTGAACAATAATTTCTTTGGGTTTTGCCTGTACGTGTGAAAAGTTCTGATAAGGAATTATGTGTGATGGAATGATTTTCACTGCACAGCCTGGGCTTGTGTGGATGAAATGATTTATACTGCACATCCTGGCCAGAATAAAGTAATGCATTAATTCTCTAACATAAAAAAATGTTGGAGAGTTTTTGTTTTTCCCACAGTTTTGGTGACCGTGACACAGGCTATCTATTGTTAGAAGTCATATTCACTCCTCCTCCCTGTGGAAAAAACAGTCACACTGGACAGATGAAAGAAGAAATGCTGGACGGGGTCAGAGAGGTAGGCAGAAAGGGAGGCTTCTGCCTACCCTTCAGCTCAAAAGGGGTAACAAATATGTATTCACCTAGGAAGATGGCTGAAGAGTAACAGAGCTACAAGAAAGGATGAGTACAGGAAAAGCCTCAGAAAGCTGCTATTATGTCTCACTCCTTCATAGATACCTAGCAAACAGCCCCTTTGAAGCTATACCCACCTTGTCCTGTCCCCATTCCACCCTACTCATAATCCAGGTCTACACAGAAGTTTCTGTCAGTGCCTGTCTGACAAATACTGAGTTTATATAAACTTCTCTCTGTCACTGTTGGCAGTCAATCACAGAACCTGGAAAGGATTCTCCAGCAGAAGCTAAACTCAGCTGGTCCTCGGAGATGGGATCCAAAGAGGAAAAGAGGTGCTGTAACCATGTGGAGTCAAAAGAAGTGACATTACAAGTATAGCTCATTCAGAATTGTATTTAAACATTAAGGCAGGAATTTATCCAAGAATCCATACTCTTGCCTACCCTCTGGTAAACTCACATATCATATTAAATGTATTCACCTCTGCAAAAGGCATCTGAATGCTCTCTACAAGGAGCTCTTCCCCTCCACTCCCCCTCACTGTTTTCCAGCTCGGCCACTACAGGCTGAGATCTCTGTGATAGGACCCGTTTCCAAAGGCAGTCAGGTATCACAGGCTTCAGCAGAGCTGGGTCACTGAAACTTTCCTAGACAGGCAACACCTACAAATGGCATTTGAGTACCTCAGCGTCTTTCAGTTTGCAGAGATGTAGCTTCTGGCATTATTCTTTACACCAGATTATCTGTACAAAAGCAGTTTTAACGAATAGATAATACCATTTAAAATAAATTCTAATAAATTCACATTTCTTGGCTGTTCACAGATCTATCTTGTCTCTAAGCAAAATTCTGTTGCACGACTCTCTGGTCTGAATTCTTCGCTGTTATGCCACCTTTACACCAGGAAATATCTTTGTTCACTGTTTTCACTTCATATAACTTTCTTAAAGCCAAGTTAATTTCTAAAGTAAAAGGTTCTAAGTTCAGTGCCTCCAGCAATAATCCTCCAGCCATTTTTAGCAATAAGCCATTTTAAAAAATTAAAAGGAATGAAACATTAGGGAGAAAAAGAAAATAACAAACTTCTCTAGTTTGACACAAGGCTGGCAATATATGCCCATATGTGGTGCTTCCTCTAAAGCCTCTGAGGGTATCAGATTATACATCTAGCAGGAGAAACAGGAGCACACCATTCATACAAAATTAAATTTCTCTGTGAAAGCAGTTCTTTCTCAAGTCAGTGGAGCCAAAAGTTCAACATGAAAGGAAGAAAACTAAAATAGAAGTTAATATGGTAATTATGAGAACTTGAGAATAAAAGGTACAGCTGAGATGGAACAGAACAAAAGGGGAACAGCAGCTCAGGATGAAAAGAAAACAAAGGAGCAGAAGGTCGGAAAGCAGCTGGGAAGGTTTGGGATATGGATGCATTGCTTCTTAATTACTTAATGCAACTGTGACTGGTTAAACTGTGTTCACTGCTACTGCCACTTTCCTTTACAATTTACTGCTTGAAATGCTACGTCAGGCCACAGCAAACTCAGAACAAAGCCTGTCGTAGTAGTAGTCTTTACAACTTTTAAAAAAAGTCACCTACAAAGAAGAAAACAAGGAAAGCTGCACAGCCACACGTAGGCATAATGAAATGTTAGCCCTGTGTTTCAACTTGCCTCTCAGAGGTTAAGGTTCACAGAACCACATAGGAAGAACTTGATATGGCCGCTACCTTTTAACTAAGAGAAAACAATGCATTTACAAACACAAATGAATCATTATCCAAACAAATGTTTAGAACACGGCTCAGAAAAGAAAAGATCAAAAGGGCAGTAGAGCTTTAAAAAGAATCCTTTTACAGACCTAAATAACTCAATTTGAACAGTGAGCCTTTTAAAAAATAATTACCTGGCAAAGCAGAAAACTTTCCAAACATCACTTTCGGCTGAAAGTTTAAAATGTAGTACGATTCAGAGCGTTTATACCACATCCCCTCCCCTTCCAATGCCTTCATTCTGGGTATTTAACCTCCTAAACCCGTTGTCCCTTTTTTAACCGGAATGAAGCAGCGCCTAAGAGCTGTGTCAAACAGCAGCTGGCAACAGGGCAACCGAGACACCGGAGTTTTGATCAAGAGGACCATTGTTTTTACCACGTAAGAGTTAAATGCAGTCACACTTATGTCTTTTCCCGTATGGTAGCGCTCATTTGGAACAGCAAATGGAGTTTTTTTCCTCCCACAAGCGGGCAGGTCCGCACCAGCCCGTGGATGCCCGGGCAGGGCGGGTGCAGCAGCCCCGGCGCCCTCGGGCGCTGCGGAGGCGGGCGGGTCGCGGCCGCGGCCGTGCCGGCCCTACCTGGGCGGGGTGGATGCCGAACGCCTCTCCGATCCGGCCGTACAGCTCGCGGGCGCTGCTGAAGCCTTCCACGCGGCCCGTGGGGCTGCCGTGCGCCAGCTGCGTGTGGAACTGCAGCCGCGACGCGCCGGCCGACGGCGCCGGGGCCGCCGCGGGGGCCGGGGCCGCCGCCTCGCTCTCCACCAGCTTGAAGGTCTCCTTGGACTTGTCCTTCTTCTTGTTCCTCAGCCCCAGCGGCATCTTTCGCGCCGACCTCGGGCTCCTGCGGCCGCTGCCACCCGCGCTGGACTCTGCCCCCAGCGCGGCACCGCCCCGGCCCCGCGGCCATCGCGGCCGCCAGGTGCGGCCCCGCCCCGGCCGCAGAGGGCCCGGCCCAGCCCTGCCCCGGCACGGCCCAGCCCCGGCACGGCCCAGCACGGCCCGGCTCCGGCACTGCACGGCACGGCCCCGGCCCCGGCACTGCACTCTGCACGGCGCCGGCACGGCCCGGCCCAGCCCTGACCCGGCACTGCACGGCACGGCCCCGGCACGGCCCGGCCCAGCCCTGACCCGGCACGGCCCCGCCGCCCCTGCCCCTACCCCATCCCTCCCGGGCAGCTCGGGGCCATCGGCGCTGCCCTGCCTGCGCTCAGAGAGCTCCTGTCTCCGCCACAGCACAGTCCTTTACCGACTTCTCACTCACTAGTTCAACAATTTCTGCTAATAGCAAAGTACCGAATACTGACTTGTATAGATTTATATCCAGGATATAAAAGAAAACCTAAAATATACAAGGACTTCAGGCTACTCTTCTGCATTTATCACAGAATATCTATAAATCTCAGTGGATTAATAAAGCAACAGTAACATAACCAAAGTTTAAGAGACTTCCTATTGTACTGGACGACAGGTCCGAAATACTGAGATTTTACACAGAAAATACACTTTTCAAGTATTTGTAACATTTAATGAATTCAAATGTTTTCTCTACTGTGAAACAGAGTTATATATTGTAGTTAGATGTTCACATTACAGAAGACATCTGTGTTCCAAAGGAACCACACTCAGTGGAACTGCTCCATTTTCAGTAGCGCACTTAACCCACCCAAGATGTGAAGAGTGCAAAATTCATGAGGCAACATTCAGCACTTCTGAAGGAAACTGCTCAAAAGGCACAGGGAAAAGCAGCACTGCCCTACCACATCCTCTGACTTTCAGAATAAAGACAAACCATTGCAGAGACAAGGGATTCTGGCACATGGAGTCAGACCAGGCAGGCAGAGACAATGAAGCACTGTGAGGCAGCCCTGAGTCAAAAGTTCTGAGCAGATCTAATCAGAGCACCTCTGATTACATGAAATTACATGCAGATTTTAAACTGCTTATGCTGTGAGGTTAAAAAAAAGGTTTGAAGCCAATTTGACTTCAGCTTTTCCAAGATAGTCTGTAGTAGATTTAAATGAATACACAAAAATGGCTTTTATCCAGTTCTAGTAAGAGAATTTGGTTCAATATTGTTACTGGTTTTGTAGGAATTTCCACCAGTAAAACACCCAACAAAACTGCACAATAAACTTGCTCCCAGCTGACTGTCCAGTTCAGTTTGAAACCACAAAACTTAAACTGAAGGTTTCTCCGAACTTGCAGAACTGTGTGTTCTTTTTCCCCATTACTGGAATGCAATTCAGACAGCATGCTGGCATTCACTGGATGACATTGCAGTGACACAAAATGAGGTATTAGCAGTACGAAACTATTCATGTTCATCTTGATACTTAGGGGGTTTTGCTGGTTTTCAATTTTAAATAAGCAATTTCTTTTTAAAACAGAAGCCTTTTCCTGTTTACTATAATATATTATAAGGGAATTGGTGACAAGAATTTATGTATTGTCTCCACTCATTCCTTTTCTTATGAAAAGATAATTGAATCTTAAAACCCAATAAATACTGTTTATTAATAATTTTGTTAATGAGATTTACTAAATAAACACAGTCAAGTTTCCACACATACAGAGGCTGTGCAGATTTATTTTAATAAGTATTCAGGGACATTAACAGTTCTAATTCAGGTACCTGTTGCAAAATTTTATTCAGTGGAAATGTGTTTCATATGGTGGTGGATGGAGAAAAAAGTTGAAGTTGGTACAAAAACTATGCTGATCCCACCTACAGCTTGAAGCAATAGCATCAGCTTTTAACTATGGAAAATAAAAATGAGGCCAAATAATGATCAAACTGAAGACACAAACAGTACGGAGTACGTATATGCCATCATTAGTTACATGACGTAACAAATGAAATGAAACCTTTTTTGTGACATTTAAATCGGAGGAAGATGACACTGCACACATGCCTAATTATTTTCAAAACCCAAACCTAGAAAAGCACCTATATGAAATTGCCGTAGCAGTCCTCTGCTTTGGAAGGAAGGGTAAAGAAGTCTTCAAAGCTCAGCTTCATCTCTGTTACTGAAAAGTTACATTACCACAGACTTTTTTTCCTGATCTACAAGTACTATTTATTAATATTGTTCAGATCATGGATTAGCACTTTCAATGATTTAGATTTGATCGACATAACACAACTCTGACTGGATGATCTGTAGAGCTGTAAATGAGTCAGGCTGCTGAGAACCTCAGTGAAAAGAAGGCTGCAATGGACAGAAGACACTTTTTCTCTAACTACAACCAATCCTGTTTTCAGACTCCCTTGAATATGCACCCTCTAAGGAAGTATCTGCCAACACTAATTAATGCACAGTAAAAGTAGATCAATGAATCCAAATGAGTCTCCAGCAACTCAGGATACTAAGGATACAAAAATTACTTCAAATTACTTTTTCGAAGAGAGTTAACGTAAATAAAACTGCTATTAGTCTTGGTTTTAGAGAGAATAAACCATGTACTTAAAAGAAAAATTGATTTGATAATTTTATCCAGAGTATATTGCACACTACAGGCTATCCCATTATTCTTCAGTTTCTCACACATAATACTTGGGATGCAAGAATCATGGTGTGCAACAGCCATAAAGTTTGTAGAGAATGTATTGGAACAAAGGCAGGTTGCTGGGTATCAAATGCCACTATCAGTGAGTGTTTCATTAAACACGGCGTATCTATCCTTATTCAGGGAAATGCTGTAGGATATTTCAGGTGCTGGTTGCACAGCAAGAGGGGGTTTTTGAACGTGGGGCAGCAGGACTGTGAATATGGCAGTTCGTCCTTGATAAAGCAATCAGGCATGACTAACAAGATCGTTGTTGTACAGCTCCTCCCCTGGGTAAGCCAGTAATTCCAGGGCAACAAGCACAGGGCACTTACATTCACTGTTTAAATAATAGAGTAATTAACTGGAGAAGCCCGAAGGGAACAAATCATGCCATGCAACAGTCTATTGCTGAGCAATCTGACAAATGGAGAGTTGAGATTCTGCACCTTAAGAGGAGATTAGTGCTGCTCACTAGCTCAGTTTGGGTACTGAACAGTAAGGGGCTGTATGACAAATTCCCTGCTTCTATAGGATGTGTTCAGTAAGCAATAAGTAAGAACTACTCATGTCAGCTGCAACAGAGCACTAGCATTTACTGACTGGAAAAGTTAAATTGTCTCTTAATTATATTTATAGTATCATGTTCATGGCCTGTATTTTTTAGGTCTAGCACATGAATTCAAGTACATAGAATTGCACCCTAAGTTATAAACACTGAAACTTGCGAAGGAAAACAAATTTCACCCCCAAAAAGTCTGCTTCTGGCTAGTCAGACTAGCACGTAAGATGCACATACTAGAAAAGAATGGAGTGCATTTGTTCAACACACCACAAATAGGCTTCAGGAAGCTTTCAGCACAACTACTACAAAAATGGCTGAATGAAAGAATGGAATGCTAGAATGTCATGCCCCTCATGACAGCAGAAAGCTGTGGAGCAAGCAGAGTACCACTGCATGGCAGGAAGGAGAAAGGGTTGGAATGTAGCTTGACCTACTCTTCCAACAGCTTGAGGCTATCCTAAGGCTTGATGTTGGTGAGATTAAAAAAGGATCTTTAGAAGCAGAGGTTTTCAGACTTGCTGGATGAATTTCAAAACAACTAAACGACTTATTTTCTGTGGCACATAAGCAACCTTCAAGAGATCAAAAATCCATCCCAATTTCATGAATGACAATTTTATTTTCATGTTTTTCAGTAGTTACAAATATAGCAGTTGACTGAGTATTTGCTTCCTTCTCCCAAGTAGCTTTATTAAATAATCAAGTGGGTTTTAAAACATAACTTTTAAGCATATTTTTGATTAGAAAAATATTTTTTGTGAATCCTGGATTAAATAGATATTAATGCTTCCTCTCATATTTTGAAGTAAGTCTACATGCTGGTTTCTGAAACATATACTTTGTTACCTTTCCATAAGAAAAGAAATACAGGCATTTATTTCATACCAGTTCTATAAGTTTTATATTTTGAGCTTGAAAACAGTTGGAAAAGTTTAGTTTGCTATACACATATATATATATATGTACACCTCTAAATACACAAGATACTGCAATTCCTCAATTTAACACTACTCCTCTTACCTGAAGATGGTTACAAAAGAATAGTCTTAGTTGCTGTAACTTTTTTTTTACAAGTTGGATATGGTTACAAGATCCTGGATTACAAAATGCTTGATTCCATTAGCTTTTAAACTGACAAATAGGTATTTTAAGTTGATATGCTTTAAAGTCGTGTAGCTTGTAGCATTTGCCATCATAACAAAATATAAGAGAAAGTTAAAAACCAACTTTACACTTTTTACTTAAAAACCACATAAGAAATGCAATACGGAACATACTGAAATGGAAATTTTTTCAACAAACAATATATAGTATTAACAATATGCACAAGCACTAAGCAGCAATTTTTTTCTCTTTGTAATACTGCTCCAGCAATTGTTTACTTCCTGTAGATTTAGGACAACTAACTGATACTGCATGAAGAGATCTGCAGTTAAAAAATTGACTTGAACAATACCCCACAAATTCTATTTTTAAGTAAAAGAAATGGGATTCTTCTTACACTCATTAGAAAGTTACTGTAAATTAAATCCCAACTCCCGTATGATTTCCTGCAGAGTCACATATATAACACTGCTATTTCTTAGGCTACCTAATAGAGCAGGTAACCTCTAAATTTCCACAGGCGAAAGGCTAACAGCAAATCTTGAAATATCTTATGAAAAACAACAACAAAAAAATCCCAAACCCTTTTAAAGTGTTGTTAAAGCACTGTATTATGGTTTAAAACTCAA